AAAACTACCAAACACAACTACCAAGTAGTAATCAACTGGAATTTAACTAAAGGAGGAAGAAAGTGGGCCAAAAAAGAATTGTTCTTCTAATTTCTCCTCACCCTGCCTTTCTCTCTCCATTTTCCTTGGTCCTCTTTTTCTCCTTTTCTGCTCTGTTCGCCCTGCACTCTTTCTCATCCTCCCTTCATCCTGATGCAAGCCTTTTCTCTCTTTGGCAATACCAGTGTTGGATACTTTTTCCTCATGAAGCAAGAGCTGCTGTTGTGTGGGATGTCATTGTGGTAAATAAAGTTGACTGTAACGAAGATTGGTTGATTGTATGTGACAGGTGGGCCGTGTCCTCTGTCATGACTCGCCAGAACCAGATCCCTACTGAGGACGGCAGCCGGGTCACTCTGGCTCTCATCCCCCTCTGGGACATGTGTAACCACACAAATGGACTGGTAAAGTCTTTATCTCACACTCACACGTGCATACTTTATGAAGAATTTGTCAAAGAATTTTAAAAGTGTGCCATAATTAGACACAAGGCTTAAAGTTGAAAACTTTGGAAAACTTTCTGCCCATGCCGTGATAACAAATTGACTGCTATAACACATAAAATGTTAACTTATTTAACAGTACAATTAAATAATGTTGTGTATCACCTAGACTGATGTATTATATTATTGTTTTTTTGCACCTCTTTTACAAATTAGTAGTTAAACACATACAATCACAGCCCGGACATGCCTGGAACACGAAATTAGAGAAAATAATTCCAGTCCCATTGAAAAACCAGAACTTGATAAAATCGGCATCGAAAGTTAAGTATATTTACCTTCACCGTCGCTCCACTCCCTTCATCCCGCTAGGGCACCGGTTCAATGAATACACACCTGCTAACAGCAAACTAATAACAGGAAAATGTGTCAAAACTCAATACTAGCACTACCCGTAAATTATATGAGCATTTTTGAAAGTGCTGTCCTGAATTGCCAAGAAACACCTGGAAAAGGATTTCTTCGAAAGGGTGGGAACATGGATGGTAATGAATGCCAAAATAAGTTGTTTTGATGAACATAAATGTGAATTTATTGAGCACTGGTAAAGGTTGAATTGGTTAAAGTTGTTGTTGGCCTGCAGATCACCACCGGCTACAACCTGGAAGATGATCGCTGTGAATGTGTGGCACTGCAGGACTACAAGGAGAACGAACAGGTCACTCTCTCCTGCTACTTTTATACGTTGGTTGTCTGTCTTGATTCTCTCTGTTTGCACACACACACACACAAACAGCAGCTAAGTAAGGTAAAAGCAGGAAGACATGGTTCATGTTAATGTTAATACTTTACTTTACTTGCTCAGTCGGGGAAGTTGGTCAGTTTATACTTTCTATTTACATCAGCCAGTCCATAAAATGTATGTAAGTTTTGATCTTTACAGAATTCAGGTCATGACTCAAAGTCCCTAAAATGTTTTAACAA